CAAGCTATTGGCAGCTGCCAGGCAGTGGATCTGTAGCCCACCCTCCAAAATACTCAGGGATTACATTGAGGACACACTCAAAGCAACATACACTTAAGGTTAACAAATCCATCTAACAGTTTTGAATATAGTATTTAATGCACTGAATTAAATATTCAAGTCAAATGTTAGGTTCCAACTCGGGGTTCACAGACCTGTTGCGTGAAGATGATCACCAAACACAAAACATCATTAAAATCTGCCATGACCATATTAAAGGCTGGATTAGAAGAACCTTGCCAATTCGGAGACAAAAGCATAACCCACAACTGTGGCCTGAAGTCAAGGTCACAGACTGTAGCCATCACAGCCTGTATTCCAGTATCCGAGTTATTTCTCACGTGGAAAAAGGTTTTCAGTGTCTGCTATTTGACAGTCACCGTTTGGCCAAGCAACGCAACCCCCGACTCATTTTGTTGTTTGTGTCCATCCTCCACACTCCCAGAGAAGCACCATTTTAAACTGATACCAATTTAACCTTTGCCTCAGATTAACCCAGTATCTTGTACATGGTTTGAAACATTAACCACTTGCATGTAGAAAACACACAAGTCTCAACCTATCACAGGTGACATGTTTCACTGTCACTTACAGGAATTAGAGCTCTCAACAGCACCGCACAGGTCACAGGTAGAGCTCAGGTATTCAGCTCTGCCCCCAAGGAAGGAGGATGAAAGGTTTGATAATCTCACTGAAAACCTGGCAGTTTATGGAGACACCTTAAATGTAACAAAAGGACTGGACAGAACGTTAGGATTGTAACACCCGGCAAAGGAAGAACCTGTTTCCACATTTTAGAAGACATGCAGAAGAGAAGGTTGAGACAAGGTGCTGCTTGTGGCCTTTCTGCATGCACACGCAATGACTGGACAACCATCATGGCAGATTTTATATTACTGAACTTTATGTACAAAAGCCTCTTTCAAATAAAACATTTAATGTAAAAACAACGGTTCATTTAAACAACTGAACTGGTTTTGTTTCTTGTTTTGGGGTTTTGTTTTTACATCTCCTGTACCATTCCAATTCTTTTTAAACCAGCTTACAGGGCATCTTCAAAATCTTATCAAAGGTACATATAGAAAAGGCATCTTTATAAATAGAAAACAAAGGGACTTTTTCAGCTTTTATTATAAATTGACATGACATACAAAGTTTACTGAACAGAAGTAATTTCATTACTATTTTTGGGGGGATCACCAACTTTTTGTGCAAACAATGCTAGCCTTCTTTTAAGCATTAAGAGCATAACTGCTTAAGAAATGACATAAGCAATAATTCTAGAACTACATCTCCCCTAAAATAATCTATTTTTTTTTTACATATGTGCACAGCTTTAGCAAATTAAAGCCAGAGAGAAATGCTCGATGGACTATCCAGAGGCATAATTA